CCTACTTTTGAATATGAGATATGTATATGCTAGATAATTCATTATCATATTTAAATGTAGGGTTAATTACAGTTTAGTACCATGTGGTTATACCCTTAAGACATGTTAGTTCATACCTTTTCGACTTTTACAATTAGCTACCTCAGTCTTTTAAATTTGTTACTGTTGAGGCCCAAAAAATCCACGGTTCTGCCCAAATGAATTTCCTGCCCAGTGCAATGTCTTATTAAGAAAAGACCCAATTTAGAGCATACGAGAGTCTACTATGCCAAATAAATAATCCATCATGCCAAGGATTGAGATAAAGATCATAAAATACACTAGCTCTACGACCACGTCAAGCATCATGATAAAAAGCATGCCAGGCCAAGCGGGAAATCATTATTTCCCACCCCAACCATGCTACAAGCCAAAGTGGGCCCAAGCCACTCAAATGCTCGGGGCTTGCTTAAGTGGGTTGTGGTATGGATGGTAATAAGTTGTCATGAGGCCCATTGATGGGCCGAGAAATATAGGTTCCGAGTTGCTTGGGAGCCTCGAAACTCAAGCCTATTTCTTAGGCCCAAACATGTGGGTTAGCACAAAGGAGAAAATAGTCCATTACCTTAGCCAAAATAGCCCATTAACTTAACCAAATTAGCCCAACACCTCAACAAAATAGGCTAACACTTGGTGAGGTTAGCCTATTTATTTGATAAACCAACCCATTGTCCTAGAAGGCCCATGTAACTAAAATAAAGACCTACAAAAGCCTCAGCACTTGGCTGAAAAACAAAAGCCACAAATGGAGCTTGGAGGTCCACGTGCACAGAGCTGCTGGGAGGCTCCAGCACATGGGAAAGAACAAGTTTCAAGCAAAAAACATCTGAATGACCAAAGGAATTTAGCGCGCAGGCTGCCAGGAGGAGAGGCACCCTTTGAACCAGCATGTATACCCATTTTCTTTCTTTCATCAGATCTAGCCATGGAAGGAGGAAGGAAAGAAAAAGGGAAATAGCTGAGAATGGGAGTCTCCCACTGAGACAGTTGTGGGAAAAGGCCTTGAGCACCCAAAGATCCCTATTTTTGTGCAAATGGGTAGAGAGAATTTCACCAACATGGGGAAAGTCAAGGGAGGAGAGAAGAATGAAAGGGAAAACCTTGGCCAAATTGGATAGAAACCATTAGGGTTTCTTGAAAAAGAGTAGCTTCCAGCGGCTATAAATAAGGCCTCTTCTACCAAACAAAAAAAAATCCAGAGAGCAAGCTTCCTCTCCTACCTGCAAAAACCCAGTAAAATTTGTGCCCTATTATGCCTTCTCCCCCATTTTCCCTCTTCTGGCAAACTACTCTAACATTTGACAGAGCCTCTTTTTCCCTCATTCTCAGCCAAACCTCCCTGCAAAACCTTTCCTCTCCTACCTTAATACCCCTTTTGCCCCAGGAACACTTAAGATTCTCTTCAGTGCTAAACTCATGACAATTTTGCTTCCATGCCACAAGCCTCTCATGCAAAGCCAAGATTCTACCTATAAGCACTCAGAATTCATCTGTAAGTTGTTGTTATTTTTGTTGGTGAAGGTAACCAAGGTGTTTCCTAAGGCCCTACTCTCCTTTCGAAGCATTCTTGGGGCTTGATTTCTGAACTCAGGCACAAGGGATCATTACATTAGTTCCCTCTTTACGGCAGCCTAGCCCATTTGTAGTTGCCAGAAGAAAAAGGCCTATACAGTTACAATGTGGTTCCGCCATTAGGGTTTCTGTTAGATCTCACCAGTAATTGCCTACATGGCACTGTGGGGTAGGGGTGGGCACGGTCTGGTTCGGTTCGGTTTGCAGCTCGCATCGAAATCGAAATCGGTACTGTTCATCCAGTCCGGTCCGGTCTGGCTTTTAAGAAAAACAGAAGAGAAACCGGATCAAGCCGAACTGCCTATTTCTGATTCGGTTTTTCGGTATCCCAGTTTGAGCCGGTTCTCTGGCAAGTCACATACACAGTAATAAAAGAATGAGGGAGATCAGTGGAGAATAAGGGAAAAATAAAAAATAAAAACTTAAATCTAGTTAAGTAATTTTTACTTCTCTGAAACCCAAAAAAAATTGATCCAAAATATTTGATATTTGCTTTCATTCTCAGATCGCTCGGCAGCAAAATAACCCTAAACAGTCCAGTGCTAGGTAAACCAGAAATCATAAACAAAATCCAAAAAAAATAAAATTACAACACACCAGATCTAAGGAAATCGACCAAAAATAAAAAATTTGAATACAACACCAGATTTCTCCTTGCATGAGACTCTGATGCTTGAATCTAGTCTTAGGATCTTTGTTACTATCAAATGAAGAAGGCTCCATAGCAAGAACCCCTTTCATCCTCTTCAAAGTGAAGTTGCAGAGAAGAAAAAGAAAGAAAAAAAAAGGCATAGAGAAAGAGAGAGTGAAGTCGCAGAGAAGAAGGAAAAAAAAAAAAA